TATATCATCAAGTTTTAAACGACTCATATCCGGCTGTTTATATTTACATCATACGCATGCAAATACAACTTTTGGCAAATCGCATCGCACGTTTGGGTTATGATGAGAAGAAAAGCGCCGATGATAATTACAATGAGCTTTTGGAATGCATTGTTATGCATCAGGAAATACTAGGGTGAGTGTGAGAGCGCAAGCAATTCGGGCATTATAATAAAATTATTTACTTTTATGTATATGCACATCTAGAATTGCCGGCATCGTTGGAGATGTTATATCCGTGACTGTATTTACTCAGTTTTTTCTAGCCGCGGCCATACTTGGCGTCACTATGATTAACATTGTCATTTTTGCTGATCTGTCCACCAAGATTGCTTCAGTCACCTACTATTTGGGTGTACTGCTGCAAACTTCGGCGACATGTTATCACGCGTCGTTTTTACTGGATGACTGTGACGACCTGTGCCAAGCCATTTTCAATTGCAATTGGTTTACACAAAATAAGCGCTTCAATAATNTGTGAGTAATTGTTAAAAAGTAGAATATACAAAGGGTTTATGTTCGGACTACATATCTGCAATTCTGATACTAGAATCCAATTCTGCTATTTATTAACGGACTTCAAGTTAAGAATAATGTCAAGAAGCTGAAGCAGAGTTGGATGGCAATATTTATCCGGAACTAATTTTAATTTTAATTTGCAGATAAAAATATAAGCCCTCGATATGTTTGTACATATATAGAAACTGAATAAGTTCCCTCTTTCACAGGTCGCTAAATTTTCTTTTACACTTTACACATTCATACAAAAAATGGGTCTTGGAGAGGACTTGAAGGGCTAAAACTATGCAGCTGAAGTAAGGGAAATAAAGGCACATTCACTTTATTTACATCGTAGTGGTCATTTTATTCGCACGCTTTTTAATAAATAAATATATAAATTAATAAAAGCACTTAATAGCTTCGGCAGTAATATTTTTGGCGTTTTAATTGAAGGTCACCAACCGAGCGGACATTATCTATCCATATGTCATTACTTTCTAGAGGGGTAAAACTACCTTGCGGATGCGTGCTGTGGAACGTAGTTTGTATAAAAAACTCTATACTCTCTAGTTACAGTTGCGTCCGACGTTGTCCCTTTTGTTAATTTACCATAGAGTGAACGCTTCACAATGGCAGATCTCCGTTTTAGGTGCGGCGAAGGTTAGTAACTACACTGTACGACATTTTCAGTTTTTTTCTGGGGAATTGATGAAACCAAGTTTTTCGGGATTGTATTTAGAAAAGGAATTGCGCAGTATTTCCAGCTTGGCGATTTTAAGCGTTATTATTTTTTTTTATTGGAAGTTTGTGGTGGCAGAGAAGCATTTGTAACAATTAACCCTTAATCACACAATTAGTCGCATGGGGTCCCAAGCGACCCCAATAAAAGTGTTAAAAAAAAAGAGTTTTCAAAAATAAAAATTTACCTGCGCGAAAAAATATTGCGTAAGTGGTCGCATGGGGTCAGGACTTAAAATAGTGACGACACATGCATACACGCCGATGTTGTGGCAGTGACTTAGGTTGCAAACAGAGTGGAAGCGAAGCCGAAGACGAAGATGAAGACGAAACCGAAGACGAAAAACAGTGCAGTAGTAAACATATGAAAGTGATCACAGTGCAAGCAAAGACGAAGACGAAGATGAAGACGTTGCGCAAGCGGTCAGCTTGAAACAGTGCGGTACTGTTTTCAAAGACGAATCGCTTGCTGTGATGAATTGTTTACAATTTATTTAAATGTTTGCAATTGTGAAAAAACGCGTTTTTCAAGAAATTGGCTAAATTTTTGGCAAAATGTAATCAAACGTATTAATTGGCATTCTTGTATATTTGAAAAATGTCTGTCCGTCTTGCCGTAACACATAATACAAGTGGCGAAATTCTCCAAAAGTTGTCCTATACAAATTATTTCATGAATTGCTGTTTTTTCTTTATTTTCTTTTGATTTTATCTAAAAAAATGGTTCCACTATGTACAATTCGTCTTCGGCTTCGTCTTCATCTTCGTCTTCGGCTTCGCTTCCACTCTGTTTGCAACCTTATTTACATACCGCGCGGGGAGTTAGGAAGCTAGAAAGAGCGCGAGCACGCTCCAAGCACTCCATGCCATTTTTTTTTTCAACTTGAAATGGCCTTGATCCCGTGCGCATAAATAAGGATTAAAAGTATTTTAAATGCAAACATTTATATAATCAAAAGGCCTTTCTAATGGTTTTGGAATCCGAGAATCGGAATTCGTAAATTTATGTTTGCCAAAAAAGGCCGCCTATAACTTCAATTGCATTTCTGTTTAGATACAAAGATTTAAAACCAATGCTTCGTCTCCATGGGAAAGGCATTGGTGTTATTGAAGAGATTCTAAAGAATTTATCTCAAACGGAGAATTACGAATATTTAAAAAAATTAAAACGACCAATGCAGATCTCTATTATTTAAGAATATCAAGCAACACTTGTATCTCCATTGTAATTTTTAAATCCTTGAAATAAACTGAATATTAAACTGTACCATTAACTGTAGATATTTGCAAGCATATTTACCACGGTTGCCAAATTTTTGATACATGAAACCGGGACGCCCTATAAGTCTGTTCTCTTGCTCGCCCGCAGGTGCCCGAAAGTGGCCAATTTGTGCCTTATTCGCTGGTTCTCGGGCTGTTTAGAGCCATTTTAAGCGAGTGATATTTGCTTCGCACTAAACTTTAAAACTGTCAAACTACCAGAAGTAGAGGAAAAATTTTAAACATTCAAATTTTCGGTAATAAATATGTGCATATTTAGCTGTTTTTCTTTGATTGATAAGTGAAAAAATATCAAGTGAACCATTAGTTTAAAATTATTGTGTTTGCTGCCGCTCAAATCTTAAATTTATAATTTTGAGCGATTTGACGTTTAGAGTACTTCCGTACCTGCCGTCCGTATCAACACATGAAATGCTGTTGATAGAGAGAGGGAGAGAGAGAGAGAGAGAGAGAGAAGCAACGACGACGTCATCGTCATACGGTGGTGAGATTTCGTTAACACGAGAATCCCATAAGATAGATCGTGTCAGCTGACACGGTCGACGGTTTTGCGTTCCCGTGGATTTGGGCAGTTTATTCACTTTTGTGAGAGCATTTCATACTTAGATAGTTGAATAAAGCACTGCGACCAATAGGTCATTGCACAATAACATTAACCACATTGTTAAGTCTAAATAGCAGTAGCATAGCAGCGCGAAACAGCAGCTATAACTTCTATCAAAATGTAAATTATGTACTGTTGTTTTTCAACAAAAATTTTTACTAATAACGGCCTCAAGCTCAATCAAATTGTTGAATATCATTGTTATAAGGCCATTAATAACAAAAAAAAAAGTAAAATCACATATATAAAGATTTTCATAAAACGAAGCTTCAATGATAATATTTCTACATTACTTAAAAACTTTACTGAAATAATAATAAAAATGTATGTATGTATAGTGCCGCACTAAATTATTGGCACAAGGAATTTTTCACAATATATGCAACATTTTTTTCTTAAAATTTTCGGCCAATATTTTATAAAGATATTGTTGATACTACAACAAAAAACATAACAAAATCTCTTAACTTCTTGCAATACTCAGGAAAATTCAATGAATTTGCATACACGTTGGCATTTTAGTATAACAATGTGGGAATTCCTTTGCAGGTAGTTTCTTCCAAACAAAAAAAAAATATCGACAATCTTTGCCACGAATAAAAACGAATAAAATTAGGTGGTAGGCTCTGGAAATTCGCAAAAAAAGCATTTTCGGTGGACACCCTAGTAAGTATGTATGTATGCATAAAGAACTTCCAGCAGAAATATCGAGTAAAAAATAAACATTCTTGAAACTTACTTATCGTAAAAACTTACTAAGTAGTCAAACAAACTCGACAAACTATACTAAGTACTGTAGATACACAACCCCCGCACGATTTTTCAAGCAACAGAAATGTTCGAGAAAGTAACTAGTTACTTTGACTACATACATATGTATGAAAATGTACATATGTATAGCAGTACAAAAATTTGGAACGATGCTGCACACTTGCAAATTCTCGTTGAATTTGTCTTAAGAAAAATTTTCACTATCAAATAATGTAGGCAGCAACTAAATCTACAGCACTTCTGTTATTCTTTTCAACTTTCTTATCGAAGTCGATCAGAAAGTTTAAGAGTATCACAATTCAATTTGTATGCGCGCAGTTGAGGAAGAAAATTGGCGATGGCTATACTACACTCTAGCTTTTGGAAAGTGTTGGCAAAGTTTTAATGCTCTGTTGAACTTTGAATGCGGAAGTGGCGAATATTGATCGTCATTGACGGAGGCAAGCAAGGGGATGTGCATGTGTTGAAATTAAAAAAAAGTTTATTTACACTATGATTGTTGCAATGGGAATGGAATAATTGGGAATGCAACTATGTACATACATACTTATGTGCATCCAAATGTACTAGAGTGGTCCAAAAACAGTAAAGACGGAATTTTAAAGCCACCAACCCCTAGGATTGTTCTATACCGAAAAACAATATACCTCCATTTTTCTTTTTGAAATAAAAAAAAAAATTTAGGGAGTGCTCAAAGCGCTGGAAGTTTTCCTGTATATTATACGAAAAAAAAAAATTTTTTTATAAATGGTATAGCTTTCTTGGAAATCAATATTTTTTGCTCGGAAAACTCTGTTTCTCTTCAGCAGGCTTCCAGTATTAATATCCAATTGTTTATTTAACCATTTTTGAATACTAAAGATTTTTTATTGGTCCTCCAATGCATTCTCTGGGGATCTTGGCGAACCTATAAAATATAGTTACCATGGAAAAATGGTTAAATAAACAATTTGGTATTATTATTGGGAATCTCCTGAAAATAAGCCTGGTATTCCGATCGAAAACTATTGATTTTCAAGAATTCTATACCATTTCTACGAAAAGTTGTTTTTTTTCCATATAAAAATACATGGAAAACTTTAAGCGCTTTGAGCACTCCGTAAATATTTTTTGATTTCAAAATAAAAAAATTGGGGATATATTTTTATCGGTACAGGACAATACTAGGGGGAAGCGGCAATAAAATCCCGCATTTACTTTTTCACATGCATTTTTGGACCACCCTAATATGTACCTACATATGTGTGTATATGTAAATACATTCAAATGTGTACACCAAGCGTTTTGAAAAGTTAAGCACACTCGTGCATGAATTTATACGTATTTGTCCGATGAATAGAAAGTTTTTCAGTTATTCGGCTTTTAATTGGAAAGCAAAAGTTACTGTTTGCAGTTAAAGATGATGGATGCTGCAAGAAATTATAATTCCTTGGATTAGTTGTTATTCATACATCAAGAAAAAACATTTCATCGGAGTAAGTATTTACTTACTCAGCCCGCGCATCGATTCCCAAGTGACACAATTAAGCGGGCCGATTAAAAAGTATTCTTGGTACAAATTGGGTCGCCTAAGTAGCTCCCA